TAACAAAAATCACATCTGAGAAATAAAGAACAATGAAGAGCTCATAATGGAACCTGAAACGGATCTGACGACAGAAGAACGTCAAGAACTCTTGAATAGAGAACACCAAGAAACTCGGCAAGATATGTTTTATTCTGAAAAAGAGGATTAATGCCGATATCTGCTATTAATTAAAGTTCTTTTGAAGAAATGGGGGATGTCAGATCAACGGTCTTAGAATGGCATACAAACCAGGTTGAGGTTAATAAGCTTGGGGATCTCTACAATTACAATGCTATTAATTACTTCTGAAAAATCTCGAAGAAGAGAGAAAAGCAATCGACATAGACAGATTATTTAACCCCCACAAACAAAAAACCATAACTAATAAAAATGCACATCTGTGTATATATGTATTTTTATTATTACATATAAATAAACGTAGTAAGAAAGTATATATTTTTTTATTTTGGGGTGCCTCCAGAACGAATTAATCAAATTCCCATACAAACCTATGGTAAATTCATAATCGGTTAACGAACAATTCGGATAGCAAACAAAGTCTTGGAACGGATTATGTTCGTTAACCGATCACCCACTGTAACATGTATTTTTGTAGAATAAAGCAGTGTTTCCCAAACTATGTTCTGCAGAAAGTGTGAAAATTTTCAAAATTAATATAAATCTAAAATGGTTTTAAATGCTGTGATAAGTTCAAACATGTTTAAAAATCACATTTAAAAATTTGAATGTTTTCACTTTGTGTACAGATTGTGGCCAACATATGCTTGCCTTGATTCAGCCTCTGGCTTTCAGCTGCCCACAGTTGTTGACACCTACAAGGGCATCCATTCTAGGAAATGGGCAGTCACAATAAGGTTCTAATTGTTTGTTTGTTAATTTATAGCAATGCAACACATGGGCAATCTGCCTAGGTGAAATGCCTTTTGGGAGGTCTTTTTAAGGGAAACTGGTCCCTATTTAGGGCCAGTTTCCCTTAAAAATGGAGATTTCTGGGTTTTCTCCACAGACGCACAGTGGGGCCAAATCTCAAAAAGCTGGCCAAAAGTCAAAAGCATTATCAATTTGGCTGAAAGTCAGTATTTGGGGGTTTTCGGGATCGCTGGTTACTAATCCGAAGTCAAAATTTGAAATAAAAACAAAATGACGGATTTAACACGAACCACTTTTATAGAAAAAGTTCAAAATAAATCCATATATTGTTTAATACGATAAAACATACAATCAGTTGATTAAAAGTTCATGCATCGTCATCCAAAGAATAATTTGATTCGCAATCAGATGATTCAACTTTGAAATCGCTCGAGCTTCATGTACTTGCTGGTATACGTGGAGCAACTAACAATAAAACTGCTTCTGGAAGCAATGACTTTGAGTTTTTTCGAGGTAATTCTCAGAAACTCGAAATAAACGGATCGGATATTAATAATAGGTGTAAAATAATGTCTTCCACTGTTTTCACTCGGGAACTTTTCTTGCAAAATCTTCTCGAAACTTTTTAATGTATTTATTAGTAGACTCTTGAGCGTCTTCAGACATCTGCCNACTATTGGGTTGTTCAAAAAGTAAGTTTGTTTTTTCTGTGGAAATTTGTATTGTATTTTTTTCTACAGAAAAAAATACAATATTTTTATAATAAATAAATATTTTATTGAATTATACTGGTATATCGACCATTTTGGTCAAATACCTGTTGTCATCGTTTCTGGTAGTAGCATGATTTCACATTCATAAAAGTTTTGATCGTTGCTTATGAAAAACTGATCCAAATGATTTTTGACATTGTCGTTTCAAGTAAATATCTTACAGTTAAAAAATTTGTATAGACTGGAACAAGTAATAATCTGAGTGTGCTCGATCTGGCGAATATGGTTGGTGTGATAGCATGTCCCATTTAAGTTATAACAGTTTCTGACGAGTTACCAAACTTGTGTGAAATTTGACATTATCGTGGTAAAACACTACACCTGTTTTGTTGATCAATTCTGGCCGGCTTTTCTGTTTGATGATATTACTCAATTTGTTTACTTGCTGGCAGTACACTTTTGAATCAATTGTTAAATTGTTGGTAAAAGCTCCAAAAAAAAAATTTCCTTAAAATCCCACCAAAGAGAGCATCTCTCTTTAAGAACACATGGAACCCATATATCATGCTTTAAAACAAAACCAATTTGTTTCAAGTAATCATAAACAGTTCAATTTAACAAATTTAATCTCTCTTTATTCGGCAATTTGCTTCAATCTATACCTTTATTTTATTTTCATTGGTTTCAACTGGCCATCCAGAATTTGGTGCATCTTCAATATTGAAATTGCCAGAACGAAATTTTGTAAACCAGTTTTGGCACTGTCTTTCTCTCAACACATCATCACCATACGTGTACCACAATTTTTTTCTCGCTTGAACA